GTATATAACTCAGGATGTAGTTTGAACTACATACATGTAATCCTCAATGCAGAATACAATCCATGACGTAGTACATTCATAATAATCTCTGTTGTAATCCAGACTTTAACTCATTATTGATAAAGTAGTTCACTTCATATATTAACAATCCGAGTGGTTATGGTTGATCAGATGCAGCTAGATTCTCACTAAGTTTTATCTGCAGATCAAGGTACAACTGTTTCTACATCAGACCGTCCACACCTGGAATAAGGACTATGAGAGATGGCAACAGGGTATTGCTGGTGGTAGTCATAGTTGGTTGTATATATCTCATACACCCTGTGCCAAGGCCAGATGGAGCAAGATGTTACGGCAGCATTAAAGTGGAGAACAGTTTACCTGCGACCTTCTCATAACTCTGTATCCTGCAATTACAGTATCAAGACACAAATTATGTGTTATTCCAAACATATCAAGTTTTTTTTACATGGGATACCCTTTTATCTCCCTATGCAATGATTACTAAGAAAGTTCATTTTTTACTGTCATTTGAAAATAATCCCCTATTAGAAATCTTATGTATGACTTATAAAGTTAAAGTTTTAATTATTGTAGTCATCTAAAAATTCATATGCCCAATGGTATATATTGATATTGTAAAATGTATACTTCTTTAAAATAGTTAATCTCTTTCTCTAGTTGAAGAAGATTAGAATTTGATAACAGAGGCATTATACTGACAGCATTTGTAAACAAGTCAAGGCATTGTTTTGAGAACTATCATTGAAGAAAATATTTTATAATCCTTAGTCCTTTGAGATATTTAAAGGGTAATATGCAACATGTTAATGCAAACAATTAAGTCAAAGCATTGTTTATAAATGCTATAATGTAAGAATGTATTGTATAATCATAAGTTCTTTGAAAATTTTAATCTCTTTCTTTTTGTCAAGATGAAATAGATTTTGCTTTGATTGGATTCTTTACTGGGAAAAAGGAAAATCAAAGTTGAAAAATGTTGTTGTATTACAAGGAAAGAACATTAGAATGTCAAAAATAAAGCCAGCGAATGGTTTTGGGTTAGAGCCGTTTTTTCAGTTTTGAACATTTTACATTGAGATCAGATCCCTAAAATTGATTTTTTCTAAGTTACATAGATCTTCTAAATTGAATATTGTTTTTGAAATTCTTTTTATAATACTTTTCTTTACTAGGAAAAGGAAAATCAAAGTTGAAAATGAATTTTTTATTTTTGTTATATTTCACTCCAACTGCATTAGCATTCTATAGGCTACAAAGACTCACCAAACCATCAAATGCAAATAACCGTAAAATGTTGAAATCATGAAATAATTTAGTGATTTTTTTCAAATGAGTGCGCCATGTTGTATATTACAAGGAAAGAACATTAGAAAGTCAAAAATAAAGCCAGTGAATGATTTTGGGTAAAGGCCATTTTTTCAGTTTTGAATATTTTACATTAAGAGTTCAGTAGGACCAATCCCTAAAATTGCTTTTCTCTTAGTTACATCTTCCAAATTGAATATTATTTTTGAAATTATCTTTATAATACATTTCTTAACCAAGAAAAGGGAATATATAAGTTGAATTAAAAATGAATTTTTTATTTTTGTTATACTGTACGCCCGGTATTATTCGCGTGCGATTAACTTTCGCGCTTTTCGCGAGGGTGTTAAAATCGCGAAAAATTATCGTCGCGAAATTGCCAATTAAATCCCCGGGAATTTGTTTTTACCCGGGGCTCTGATGCATTTCGTTTTGTCTACTAGTTTGGATCGAGTTATAGTACTTCAATAGTACTGTGCAACTCCATGACTTTACTATGCGCATGCGCGGCAATGAAAGAGCACGTGCGCACGATTGTTCACGTGATCGTAGCCTGCAATTTGATTGGACATCATATACTGGGGAATCCCCGAATACGATAAAATACAGTATTCGCGAAATTTAATAGCCACGAAACCGTGTTTTCGCAAAATTCGCGAAATTAAAGCTCGCGAATAATACCGGGCGTACAGTATTTCACTCCAACTGCATTAGCATTCTATAGGCTACAGAGGCTCACCAAACCATCAAATGCAAATAACCATAAAATGTTGAAATCATGAAATAATTTAGTGATTTTTTTCAAAAGAGTGCGCCATGTTGTATATTACAAGAAAAGAACATTAGAAAGTCAAAAATAAAGCCAGTCAATGATTTTGGCTAAGAGCCGTTTTTTCAGTTTTGATTATTTTACATTGAGTTCCGTAGGACCGATCCCTAAAATTGATTTTCTCTTAGTTACATCTTCCAAATTGAATATTGTTTTTGAAATTATCTTTATAATACATTTCTTTACCAGGAAAATGGAAAATCAAAGTTGAAAAATGAATTTTTTATTTTTGTTATATTTCACTCCAACTGCACTAAAGCATTCTATAGGCTATAGAGGCTCACCAAACCATCAAACGCAAATAACCATAAAATGTTGAAATCATGAAATAATTTAGTGATTTTTTCCTAAAGAGTGGGTCACCTTGTATATTACAAGGAAAGAACATTAGAATGTCCAAAATAAAGCCAGTGAATGATTTTGGGTAAGAGGCATTTTTTCTGTTTTGAACATTTTACATTGAGTTCAGTAGGACCGATCTGTAAAATTGATTTTATTTAAGTTACATCTTTCAAATTGAATATTGTTTTTGAAATTCTTTTTATATTACCTTTCTTTACCAGGAAAAAAAGAAATTAAAGTTGAAAAATGATTTTCTTTGTTTTTGTTAACTTGCTTAAGCTTGATGACATCACAATATTATATTATATCCTACCTCTAGTTATTTTTGAGACTATTGTTGCCTGGTTTAAATGAGTCAGCACAAACCACTGTTCATCTTTCTTGTTTTGTGTTGTGGTGTCCAAAACATTGAATTGCTCTTCTGGCTGAAATAACAGAAAAATCATCATATCTGTTTGAAAGGGTTTCGACCACTGGGTTATACTTTGACAATTATAGTAATGATACTTTTAAGTGCATTCTCACAAATTATCATTATAATATACATATTATGTTATATTATTACAAAATAGCTACATGTTATACACAATGACACCATGAGGCATATATCAGGATTTACAAGAGCAAAATCCAATCAGACTATAAACTTAATGAAATATTGAGCAATCTGTTCAATCAAATGAAATCCAGTATTAGAACAATTTACATAGATACTAGAAATTTCTTCTTTTAGGTTATACCTGGAACTAGTAACAATAATTATTTGAACATTAATATCAAACCTGATGACGATTCTAGTCTTGGGGAAAACTTGGGTGGATGGAGGCAAGCTAACACTTTCACAAGCCTTTTACTATTTCAGCATCATTTGGATCGGACTTTGTACAGCACTTTGATGGCGAGTTGTAATGCTGAAAGTGAACATTGAATGATAAGGATACACAAATACTGAATTATTAAAAAAAATGATGACTTAGAGAATGTAGATCTTATCAAGGCACTCATGAATGGACAATCTTGACTTGGAAGTGGTCGTATCTTGGTACAGTAGCAAAATGATATATAACAATATTTGAGCTTTAAAGCACTCTCATAACTGAGATGTTGAGATCGCAGGTGACACACATGTGTATTACGTTGAACTACCCTTTGCATTCGTTTGACTTCACATCTGAAAAGAGAGCTTCATCTTCACTCTTTCATTTTACAATAAATCTCACCGAGCCAATCAGAGTTCATTGTCGAAATACGGACGACTTTCTATATGGTCATTTCCTCTGACATCCCCGCACAGTTAATGAGCACGTATTTTGCGTATGTTCCTTCCACTTTGCTGATTGGTTGAGAAAGGATCAGCATGGTAGATTTGAAATTATTGGGTTTACGAAAAAGACCGACCCCACCGACCACCGACCGGTCGATGTTTCCCACTGGTAGCCTCAAAACAGGGTTTGAAGAAAATGTGTAAAAGACCGACCATATCATGTAAAAGACCGAACATATTTGTAGCCTTAAAATATTAATAATTTGATTTTGAATGTCAATCGTTGGGACTAGGCAACGGTTTTTACCGATTTTGTACCTTGCAACGAATGGCAAGCAAACAAATTGGGCATGACCGTCTCCTCTCAATTAATTGTCCTGCCTTAGGTCCTAACCTATCATTAACCAACCTTTCGTTTCTACGGGAATCTATCCTAATTTTTTACTGAAATTTAACAATTTCGAAACAAAAATGATTTGTTATCGTCATAGCCTACTGAATACTGAACACGATATTACATGCGTTCTCTTATCGGGATTAAAAGTGACTTGCCATTTCAGTACACCATTAGAAAGCTTTTTTTGTCATATCAAATGTAGTTTTTACCAGTTGACGTTTGACAACTGAGAAATCAAACATAACATTACGACGTCAACATCGACGATGTTTGTGTGTTTTTGTTATTGCGTTTCATATGAATGAACTTAATGCAATGTTACGTGCGTTTTTTTCCAAAGTGACTAAACAGGATGAAATTGGTCTTCTAACTAATCACGACCTAGTAAAGGTACTATAGTCATTGGATTCCCAGTTTTAGTTTTACTTCTAAATGTAATTTTGCATTTTTTCATCTTTATGAAAAAGACCGTCAGCCGACCACCGACCACATGTACCCAACTGTGGAGAGTGACTGGTCGGTGGTCGGCGGTCAGTGTTTTTCGTAAACCCGAAATTATTTATTACCCGGGCTGTCACAGGCACCAATCTTCGGGGCGGGGTTGCTAAACTGAAGTATACATGTAGTCTATACTAGCTGAGACTAACATTTATGTTAGTCTCAGATACTAGGCAGAGTGTAGTTTATATTATAACTACACTCTGCGCGCAGGGTAACGTTGAACTGACTTGACAGCAGGATCTCTGACTTACATACACTGGCTGCCTAGTCTATATCCAATATCAGACTAGAGGATACAGTATTAGTCTAACTGACCTAGACCAGGAACTGATATCTGGCTTTTGATAGAGAAAATCTGTAGGATAGGGTCCTGGGTCATCTTTGACAAGACAGTTGAATCTTTAGACTTGTTGTAAACATCTCATATAAATGATATAACGATGAACACATACAACAACTTTTGGTTTTGTTATTACAAAGACCAGTGTTGGAAATGCTGATAAAAAGTTGAGAAATTTTTATTTTCCGAAAGCAACATGGCGTCAGAAAAAAATCTCGAAAAAAATACTTTTTTCTCTCTAAAATGTCACAAAACTACTTTTATTCTTACCTCATCAAGTAAAGTACAACTCCATTCATACTCTAGTACTATTATTTGACTTATATCAAAGTCTAATCAACCAATATCCAAGCCCCACGCCGCCACCTGAAATGGGACACCTGGAAAGGGGCACCTAGGTGTGGGACACCTAGGTGGTATTTAGTAACACCCAAATAAAAGAACCTTTTCAATCCTCAGTCTAAATTTGGCTTTTTAAAAGTTCAAACATCGATTTTGAATGGACCGTTCATGCATACTAGTATATCGAAAATGTATTCACCAGAGAAGGTGTTAGAACAGGAAATCACGTATATAGCCAGAAAAATGTTATTTTTACCATTTTATCCACTATAAATCGCAACGTCCGTTTAGTAAAGATTTTGATGTATAGACATTTATTGATGGATTGGAGGCTAGGATAAAAATGTTGTTGTTGTGTTGCATAAGCCAATGTTTCCTCCCGGTGTTTCCTCGACAGTTCACCTCTTGTACTGTAAATTTTCTTTGTGCTCTCTCATTGATGTGCTTAAATTTTCACTTGTGAGGAAAATATTATGCAAAAATATCTCGTCACGTGAAAAATTCTAAAATCAGCATTGAAATCTAATGGGCAATAGATTAAGATTTGGAAGTGAATTCTGTGATGTCCCTGGGCTGATGTCGTTGCATTCACGATAAACTGCGTCAAGATGTGCTGATCTAGAAGAAACAAGATCCTTTTTCATGCCCAGGTCTTCATCATACTTTTTGCCATCTTAAAATGGGATTCCCTGTATTCTGGTATTCTCGTGACTATAGCAAAGCCAATACAAGTGATTAATTTCATTAAACATTGATGATTGAGCGATGGAGCAAGCCCAAGAATTCTAAAAAAAATTGTGTACATAATTTTCGGACCTCAGAGAACAAACTTCCGGCTTGTTATTCAAAATAAAAAATCCTCCGACCGGGAATCGAACCCACGCCGCAGAAGTGGTTAGCGAGCACTCTAACCACTATACCAGAGTGTTTTTCCGTGATTGTGATATATTTTTTCAACTCAATAGTGATATACATGTGTGAACTTTTTAAGTGGCATTCTGGGTTGAAAAACTTTCGAGAGTGTTGTTTTATTGTTTAGATGACGAAAACTTCAATAAAAACAATATGAACACGGATTATAAACACAAAGGCTCTCTAGCCAAAACACTATGTTCACAGCTAAATAGCCTTAAATTTTAAGGCTCTTTAGCATTTTGGCTAAAGAGCCTTAAATTTTAAGGTACTCCAGACACTTCGTTTCTTTTTTCTCTCGTTTTTCCTTGGGTTTCAGTTCTTGAATTGCGTCTGTGTACTCCTCGTCTTCAATCTGATTTCTTTTTCGTTTTATGTAATTATCCAAGCTTGTTTGTTTTGTTTCTTCCATTTGTTGCACGCAGTTTCTGGGATAGATTGTTTGTTTGGATTTTTCCAGTAACCGGATGTTTACAAACAATCGACTACTTCCGGTTTGATTGTCATTTTCTCCCGGGTCACTTTACCGTCTTATTTCGTTCGTTTGCTGTTTAGATTTCGTCTGAATTTTGTTTAAAAGTCTTCTATAGCTGTCTATGCGTTGTTTTATCCAGTTTATATAGTCGATAGCATCTTTTGTCCTACTTTATTTGGTCATAACTGACCTCCTAGTATTTTTCTGTTCTCATCGTTTCGTCGCTAAGCAACCAGCCGTTGCATTTGTTTGTATCACTATATTTAGTTAAGTATACTATTGTATGTAAAGGCTTATTCACATGAGTTATTGCAGATGATTTTTAGCACAATTGTAAAACTTAATGCAAATCATCATGAAGAAAAAATGGAAAATATTGGCGTTGATTCTATGCATACTAGGTCTTTGTGTTTTAACCAATCTTGAAGGTGACAGTTGGATGTTTCTCACAAAAAATCTCATCGATGAAAATGATGACAAATTAGAATTAGTGGCAGTAAGGACATATGGCAATATTGTTAAGTCCAGAACAGATGGATTGAACTGTATGGGAATACTGCAGGGTAATAAAACAGCTATTGATATAGCTGATAAAATTGTGAAAACTGCAAATGCTGATCTTGGAAATATTGAGGAAACTGACTTTAACAGTATGGTTCTTAATATGACAAAAGATTGTAAAGCCTACAAAGATGTTTTATATTCTAACTCTTATTCACACAAGGATGAAATCAAGTTTCCAATCGCTTATGCACTTAAAATACACAGATCAGTCTTACAGTTTGAAAAGCTATTTCGACAGGTTTATGCTCGTCAAAATATCTACTGCATTTACATTGACATGAATTCACCGGAAAGCTTCCATAATGCAGTTAAAAGTGTTGTGAGATGTTTCGATAACGTTTTTATTGCATCAAATCTGGAACATGTGGTTTATGCAAGTATCACTCATGTAAGGTCTGATCTACAATGTATGAAACAATTAGTTAATTCAACAGTAGATTGGAAATATTATCTCAATGTTGTCGGGCAAGAGTATCCTCTAAAGACAAATCGTGAAATTGTACACATTCTAAGACGTCTTAATGGAAAGAGCAGTATAGAATCATACCCACACACTCACGTATGGCGGTTTGCCTCAAAATTTAAATTAAATGATAAAGGAAATGCTTTGATACCAACCTCTGAGAAAAAAGACCCATTTTACTTGAAATGGGAAATGTACAAAGGTAGTGCATACGGGGTTTTCGCTCGATCATTCGTGAATTATATTCTCAATGACAAAGAAGCAGGGGAATTCATTGATTGGTTAAATGATACATCTGCCCCAGAAGAGACTGTTTGGTCAACTTTAATTCGTCACCACAGTGGTCCAGGCCGTTTGAACGTAACTGTTAGACACAATCAAAATCACCAGCTGTCAAGGGCAGTTATTTGGGCGGCGGATCCTCAAAAATGTCATGGCAAATTTGTTAGAACAGTATGTGTGTATGGAATCCAGGATTTCTCATGGTTAGCAAGTCAACCAAATATTTTCGCAAATAAAATAGATGTTTTCCAAGACAGTGCTATAATGAAGTGTTTGGATGAATGGCTCAAGCTCAAGAATGACCATTCTGATCCTGTCATCACATTAAACTGGCATTACTTGAATAATCTACCACAAGTATCAGGAAAACAGTAAATAACACTCTCAGCCATGAGAGTGCTATAAGGGCTGCATCTACTGTACAATCAGTGTTACATAAAAACTCACTCACCTGTATCTAGTTTGATTTCATCTGGTCATATGTCCAGGCCTGTCAACTTGGGAACACCTAACATGAGTGACTTGGAAATGTTGAACACCTCCCCTCAAAATGTGGACACCTTGGTCCAAATCTGGACACCTTGATCCAAATTTTGAACACCTTGGTTTAAATTTTATTACATCTTGCCAAATTTTGAACACCTCAAATTTTTCGCGCTCGCTACGCTCGCGTTTCTAACATCCGTCAACGGGGGGGGGGGGGGGGGGGGGGGGGGGGGGGGGGGGGGGTAGGTACGAAAAATTTCGAACAGAATGCGTGACATATACGTAATTCGCGTGAAAAGTCCGAACGAAATGCGTACATTTTTTTTCCGCCGTTCGTATTTTTGCTGTGCAGACGATCTTTTTTATAAATTCTACAGAAATATTTTTGCTTGACAATTACCAGGTAAAATGCGTATTTGCGTGACATTTTCTGTCACGCAAAAATAACTGGCGTGACTTCAAATTCTTCAGCAAATGCGTGACAAATACGCAAATTGCGGGACAGTTGACAGGCCTGTATGTCTTAACATGGTAACTGGTCTGCAAATCAGTTGTGATCTTTAGGTTTGGAATCTTTGTGACACACAATAGGTTAAATACTCAGACTAGCTGTCATTGCACAGTCATATATGACACAACCAATCCCTAATATAATTCATAGAACATGTTGGAATTGTATTACAGAGTACTGTACATTTAAACTGATTTGAAATAAACTTAAACTTGAAATACAGTGGTACATTGAAAAACTATTTTGTAAAGTTGTGTGTTTTGTTGCCATAATTTTATCTCATCTTCCATTGACAGGCTGTGAATAAACATGGGCTTGTCTCATGCACAGGCATGAATGACCTTGACCTGTAATGTTAACCTTCATTGACTGACCTTTAATATTCACTTTGCATGATTGAACTTAACCTTCATTGTTGACATTGTAAGATTGTTAATGCTTCAGTGCTTTGCTCAATGGTTGGTCTTGGGGGGGGGGGGGGTAGGTACGAAAAATTTCGAACAGAATGCGTGACATATACTGTAGATTGGGTTAATTTGGCGCTACTTAATTTGGCGATTTTGCCATTTTTGGCATATTGGCGGCTATTTAATTTGGCGGATATGCAAAAAATGTTAATGCAATGTTAAACTTACGTGCTGTTTGCGAATTACCATGTAAATGGGCATGTTTGGCTGTATGTTCGTTTTTTCTTTTGAGGACCACTGGCGATATTCACCACGTTTGTACATTTTTGTGAGATCATCCTTTACATTTTGCACCTCGATTGATGCTGCTAATATACCTCGCTTTTCCTTTCTAGTTTTCCCTGAGTATTAATGAGTGACTGACCAGTTCTGAGCCAATTTATGAGAGACATTTTTTCATATTTTTGGAAAAAACTAAACCGGAAGTGACCTAAATACACTGGACGAAATACTCTAGATAATTCCCGGGGATTCATTCTAAATTTTGGCGAAGATTTATATTGGCGAATATTTCAATTTCGCCAAATTCGCCAAATTAAAGCGGGCGCCAAATTAACCCAATCTACAGTACGTAATTCGCGTGAAAAGTCCGAACGAAATGCGTACATTTTTTTTCCGCCGTTCGTATTTTTGCTGTGCAGACGATCTTTTTTATAAATTCTACAGAAATATTTTTGCTTGACAATTACCAGGTAAAATGCGTATTTGCGTGACATTTTCTGTCACGCAAAAATAACTGGCGTGACTTCAAATTCTTCAGCAAATGCGTGACAAATACGCAAATTGCGGGACAGTTGACAGGCCTGAATGTCTTAACATGGTAACTGGTCTGCAAATCAGTTGTGATCTTTAGGTTTGGAATCTTTGTGACACACAATAGGTTAAATACTCAGACTAGCTGTCATTGCACAGTCATATATGACACAACCAATCCCTAATATAATTCATAGAACATGTTGGAATTGTATTACAGAGTACTGTACATTTAAACTGATTTGAAATAAACTTAAACTTGAAATACAGTGGTACATTGAAAAACTATTTTGTAAAGTTGTGTGTTTTGTTGCCATAATTTTATCTCATCTTCCATTGACAGGCTGTGAATAAACATGGGCTTGTCTCATGCACAGGCATGAATGACCTTGACCTGTAATGTTAACCTTCATTGACTGACCTTTAATATTCACTTTGCATGATTGAACTTAACCTTCATTGTTGACATTGTAAGATTGTTAATGCTTCAGTGCTTTGCTCAATGGTTGGTCTATTCCGGCTGAAGTTTCCTACAATTGAGAAAATACCTGCTACAACCACAGAAATCTGCATTTAACTCAAGGTCACCCTACAGCATATGCCTATTTTTCTGACCTGTATGGTCGCCACGGAATTATTACACATAGTAACTGTATTAGATTTTTATTATTTAATTAAGGCCTTACAGCAACCATGTGTTTTTTGGCAGTGTCCACAAATTCAAATACATTTAGTTAGATATCAGGATTGAAAATCAACAAGGAAAAGACAGAGATTACTATTTGTGGTCACTATGTAGTCACTCTAGCATTTGTGACTGCTACAATTGCTGTTGGCCATAGAAATGTTAGGGCACATGGCCACAAAGGGCACAAAGCAAATGTGACTGAGGTGTAATCTTCCATGACAGACCTCAAACTTTAATGTTTACTTTGCATGACTGAGGGATCACTCTTATTTTCTGTGTACAACCTACAAATAAGCTGGTCTCCAATACCAAGCTGAACCATTGTGATAGTATTTACCGTACCTTGAATAACAAATGTGATATTGACATTATGACAGCTTTGGGAACACAAAAAACATCTTCAGTCCAAGACTAACCCATTCTGTTTCAGCTTGGACCTGGAAAGAGAGGATTTTCTATCAAAATGTAGTAAGGAAGTGTACATGACCATTAGGAGATAGATGGTCTGAAATTCTAAATATGTATTTCTCTGCTATAGGTGAGATGTGTTGTAGAGAATGGAACGTCCACAATTGATCTCTCGCCACTAATTAAATCAACTGGTTACCACACTGCACTGCAATCTTTGACTTCAGGCACCAATGATAATGCGGCATACTACATTAACATATGCAGGTACTGTTCATTTGGTAGTTTGAAAAAAAATCTCATGAAAGTATTTTAAAGAAGAATAAGTGTTCTCCGTCTCAGGAGAATATTGCCGAAACAGTGTTTGTTGCCCAGTGAAGGTGGCATTTATCCCTGCTTTAATAAAGTAAATGCCAATTAAAACTATTGATATTTTGACCCTGGAACACCATAGAATACCTTGATTGTATCTAATTCCCATCAAATCTGTCATTTAATTAGCAACTGCTACACAGACATTTTTATTGAATTTTGAATAGCTGAATAATAGATTAAAGTGCATTGCTGTACAAATTAAATCTTAGACAGTTTGATATTCGTTTTTTGTTGAACATATGTATTTGTTTGTGTTTTAGACCTCTTAACCCTATAGAAGGTACTCTCTGCCCACCTCAAGCATCAGCATGTAAAGTTACACAAGGGGAGCTCCCTAAGGTAGGTTAAAAAGTACTATATGTTTCATTCACATTATATTGATGTTTTGAAGATGGTATTGCTATAGATATTTAATCAGAACAAATACAATGATCAATAAAGAAAAAATTCAAATTTAATTTAATCAAAGGCATATATTGGCCATGCACTTTAAAATTCCCTCCAAATCAATAAAGTCGTCGCAGCTGTAATTTTTTTGATTAAAGCAATAATGTATGGTTTTCATATTTTTTTTATATTTTAGAATCTTGTTTTGAATGATTTTAACTACTCTACTGATCCACTTTTTTTCCCATGGAGTTTTAACTAGAATTTACATATTTTTACTTTTCAGAGTCTTGGCCATGTGCACAATGCTCCTTACATTGATAAATCCACAGGGAGAGTGACCTTGGTGTATGATCACGGAACTAAATGTGAGAAGCACCCAGAGGTCAATGCGACATCAAAGATTGTGTTTGTTTGTGATCCAGGACCACAATTGGTGAGTAGAAATTCAATAGAAGAAATCAAATTTGGTTGTAGTGATTGAAGATGTACGAGTGAAGTTTCACATTTTGTAGATTCCCTGATTTTCATATTTTTAGAGTGTGTTTATGGCCAGCAATCAATCTTTATCAAATACAAGTACAATTTTACCATGATTTTACAGGGTGATCCACTTATGTAGTATACTTTAATGAGTGGTACTGTTTCTGTTTTAATACATTGTGATCCACTTCTATGGTATACTTCTATTAATGGTACTGTTTCTATTTTAATACAGGGTGATCCACTTCTGTAGTATACTTAAATGAGTGGTACTGTTTCTGTTTTAATACAGGGTGATCCACTTCTGTAGTATACTTTATTGAGTGATACTGTTTCTGTTTTAATACAGGGTGATCCACTTCTGTAGTATACCGTAATGAGTGGTTCTGTTTCTGTTTTAATACAGGGTGATCCACTTCTATGGTATACTTCTATTAATGGTACTGTTTCTATTTTAATACAGGGTGATCCACTTCTGTAGTATACTTTAATGAGTGGTACTGTTTCTGTTTTAATACATGTGATCCAGTTCTGTAGTATACTTTAATGAGTGGTACTGTTTCTGTTTTAATACAGGGTGATCCACTTCTATGGTATACTTCTATTAATGGTACTGTTTCTATTTTAATACAGGGTGATCCACTTCTGTAGTATACTTTAATGAGTGGTACTGTTTCTGTTTTAATATATGTGATCCAGTTCTGTAGTATACTTTAATGAGTGGTACTGTTTCTGTTTTAATACATGTGATCCAGTTCTGTAGTATACTTTATTGAGTGATACTGTTTCTGTTTTAATACAGGGTGATCCACTTCTGCAGTATACCGTAATGAGTGGTTCTGTTTCTGTTTTAATACAGGGTGATCCACTTCTATGGTATACTTCTATTAATGGTACTATTTCTATTTTAATACAGGGTGATCCACTTCTGTAGTATACCTTAATGAGTGGTACTGTTTCTGTTTTAATACAGGGTGATCCACTTCTGTAGTATACTTTAATGGGTGGTACTGTTTCTGTTTTAATACATTGTGATCCACTTCTGTAGTATACTTTAATGGGTGGTACTGTTTCTGTTTTAATAAATTGTGATCCACTTCTGTAGTATACTTTAATGAGTGGTACTGTTTCTGTTTTAATACATTGTGATCCACTTCTATGGTATACTTCTATTAATGGTACTATTTCTATTTTAATACAGGGTGATCCACTTCTGTCGTATGCTTCCATGAGGGGTACTGTTTCTGTTTTAATACAGGGTGATCCACTTCTGTAGTATACTTTAATGAGTGGTACTGTTTCTGTTTTAACATAGGGTGATCCACTTCTGTCGTATGCTTCCATGAGGGGTACTATTTCTGTTTTAATTCATGTGATCCAGTTCTGTAGTATACTTCTATGAATGGTACTATTTTTGTTTTAATACAGGGTGATCCAGTTCTGTAGTATATTTTCATGAGTGGTTATCTTTCTGTTCTAATACAGGGTGATCTACTTATCTAGTATACATGAGTTGTACTGTGTTTTACAGGGTGATCCAGTGCTGGAGTTGATCTCTGAGAACTGTGAATATAGATTCCAATGGAAGACAAATGTTGTCTGTACAGAGACCAAGCCAACTGAAGTGACAAATGATTGTAAATTCTATGATAGTCGTACAAAACATACATATGATCTCTCATCTTTGAAATCTTCAGCAGGTTATCAGGTATGGACATTTAGTTTTAAAGGAATATTTTTATTATGAATTTGTGAATTGCTATATGTTGATTTTCAGAAATTTCAATATATTTTTCTCACCAAGTATTGTGTCAGGAAGATAAACAGGTAT